TTTTTATTGGTTTTTTTTTATAGTTCGAGGGGGGTGTTTGGAATTGTAGCGTATGATACATACGGTAGCTGGACATATGAAGATGTGCTATGATATAACACCATACCGTATCTGTGTATCACATGGCATCATAAATTGATTCAGTATTAAGAGCTTTGTGAGATAATTGGAAGACTTCCCTTGGGAATATTAGGACCACTCTTTCATTCTCTCGGGGTAGACCGTTTTGTATAAAAAAAAATAATAGTTCAGATCATGTATGATATGATCAGTGTGGTACGAGTGAAATGGAAAAATATATATAAAAAACTTGAAAAGCTTGAGAGGTCTAGATAGAGAGAAAGAAAGAAAGAAAGAAAGAAAGAAAGAAAAAGCGAGTTTTTTTGAGGGATTGCATTGCGAAGCGGTTCTCCATTCTGTTTGTGTGTATTGAGAGATGACATTTCTGTATCCTGATGCGTCCAGAATTGTTGACCTGGCCTTGGTTGGTCGGCCGCTTTCAAACGAGTTTTCAGGATTTTAGAGGGATGTAGTGTACTCGCACCTATGCTACCGGTACGATACTAGCATAGGCCCCCTCAAGACCTGGAGAAATTTGGCAATTTTTTTTCTCTCTCTTTGGTCTGAGACTTTTTAACCCTATTCCAAGTCGATTGATAGATATTGCGAGAAGCATTCTCCACTTTTTACTAACCAAGTCTTTTTTTCCCTCTTTCCAGCGCCCTCCTCCACACCCCTCCCTTCTCCCTGGCTGGCTAAGATGGCTCTTTCCTTCTGAACGGTAGGCAGGTGTTAGGGTGCAAATAAGTAATCAGATTAGATGGCTTATCCGATGATCGGATCGCGCTTTTAAGATAAGGGTTCGTTGCGATAGAGATAGAGATGCCAAGTCCTCTTCTACGGTACTCGAGTAATTTAAATCCCTGCCGAGTCCTTCAATAGAATTACGGTACTGTACCAGTATTCTTTTTGAGAATACAGAGTTTACCATCAGAAATTAACTTACCGTATCGAGTCGCTAAATATAATCCAGCCTTACGGTACTCATGGCACTACATCATAATATTATCATACTCGTGAGATAAGTGCCAAGCCTCGTATCCGAAGAAAAGAAAAAAAAGCACTCTCAGATTTAACTATGATAGGATGGTTCAATCGCGTTGAGCCTTATGACTGCATGCATGCTTCTTGGCATCCCGTCGCGTCTCCCCACATGCCTCCCTCCCTTCTTCCCTCCCTCGCAAGGTCTCGTCGTTGCGTTTCGCCTCCAGTGCTGCTATAATACCACCGACGCAACTCACTTACTCACTCCCTTTCATGCAACTACCGGTAGTGATAAAAATATAGGAAAAAAGGATAAGAAATGGTGCAGAAGCGTCCGGCTTCGAACCCGCCACCGGGTCCCGGGCAGCCATCGAGTCGGCTTCGAACACCGAGTACTGCCGCCCCTGATGAGGCTTTGCGCGCTCCTGTGACTTCTCCTGCTGCAAGTGGCGGTGTGGGGAGTTCTGAGAGGGTTGTGGCGCCCGGCAGAGTTACAGGTTCTGGTGGCCCTGTTGGGTCCTCTGCTAGAAAATCGCCTGCTACTTCTGTTGGGGGCCCTGGATTGGGGGGTAATGGGGGGAGGGGTGGGGAGCCTGTATCTTCAGGTGGGGGTGCTACTGGAGGGCTTGCTGCCGGCGGCAAGCAGGTTAGGGCTGGCGCAGGACCGTCCCAAGCCGTTCAACCGGTTATTAGTGGCCCCGTGGGTAGTTTGGATGAGAACAAGACTAGCGTAGACTCGGATGAAGACGAAGATGAAGATGGGGTTAATTGGGAGGATGTGGATTTGGGCCCGCAAGGTGCGCGCGTGCGCCGTAATCTACTCATTCATATTGTTATCACATAGCTAACTTAGCACTCTATAGCAATGACCGACTTCCTATCCTCCGCCCCCAATGAAAATTCCGCACCAGCGCCACTATCCCTCACGCTCGGTGGGAAAGGCAAGAAGCCCGAGCGCACGGTACGAAAGATAACCCCAGTCGAGCGTAGAATCAGATGGGAGACGCATAGAATGCATTTGCTATGCCTTCTCCACCACATCTCGTTACGGAATCGCTGGTGCAATAGCCCGGAGGTGCAGGTAACGTCCGCTCGCTCAATTGGCATGCGTATGTTATAACTTTCTTACCGAATCCGGCGAACAGGGAAGCCTCTCACCGCTGGTCAAGTGGAAAATCCGCCGGCTTTTGATTGACGACCCTAATGACCAAGTGTTCCGTCGCTCGCAGCTTTTCCTGGAGGGATTAAAGATTTTATCTGATATCTGGGTGGAAAATTTCCGAGTGATGAGGGCAGGACTGAGCAAGTGTCGGTGGGATGGGCCTGAGGTTGGTTTTATCCCCCATTACCCACTGCTACCTGTGTCCAGGGCGCTAATATGTGTGACAATTAGCACTTTGTGCACAAAGGTGGTGATCCTCCACTAGGTTATAGAGAGTTCGTGATAGTCTCCGAAATGCGCAAAGGCTCCAGGGATATCGGTGCGCAGCTGTTTTGCGCAATGCTCAGGTCGGTCGGAGTAACCTGCCGACTCGTCTGCTCCCTCCAAGCGCTCCCGTTCACATTTGCCAGCAACGAACCTCCCATGAAGGCTCCGGTGGATGCTACTGCAGGTCCGGACAAGGGCATTGGATACATCAGTAAAACCTGGATCCGGAATTGTAGGCAGAACGATTACGGAACTAGACGTGATGAGCGTTGCTGGCCCGTCTATTGGGTGGAGGCTTGGTGTGTTGCAAAACAGAAGTGGATAGCAGTGGACCCGTTTGCGACAAAAACGGTTGGGAAGCCGAGCGCTATTGAGCCACCAGTGCAAGTTCCCGGGAATTTGATGAGTTATGTTGTAGGTTTTGAGGACGGTTAGTTCTGGTGTCAATCTTGCGAGGCCTCCTGAATGTACTAATTAGGCACACAGACGGTGACTGCACTGACGTGACAAGACGCTACGCTCAAGCATTCATTACGAAGACCCGTAAGGTCCGGGTCACTGGAACTCCCAGCGGAGAAGTCTGGTGGGATAGAGTTATGGCTATTCTAGCGACGGGCACGCATCCTGTGAGTTTTTCATTTTCTCCTTTCGGCCCATCCATTAGCATTCGGTTTGACTCAGCGTTCTTACGACATATTCACTCGAAAATTCAGGACCGCCAACAGATAGAACAGGCTGAGCTCACTAACAAGATACTTCACGAGCCTATCCCGAAAAGCCTCAAGTATATCAAGGGACATCCATTGTGCTTCCCCCTCCTCTCTGTCCACTGTTACCACCGCCACCGCCTTAACTTACAATACTGGCACCAAACAGATACGTTATTGAACGCCACCTCAAGCGCGATGAATCCTTCAAGATACTGCGAAAATGTGGTACTCTAACGACTGGGTTTGGCAAGAACAAAAAGACAGAACCTGTATACCGCCGTGAGGATGTGATAAAGCTCCGCTCGCTCGAAAACTGGATACGTCTGGGCCGGGCGGTGAAGCCAGAGGAAAAAAACAAACCCATAAAGTATGTGAAAGCTGTTCGTCTACCCAGCACCAAACTTCGCAATGCAAGGAGCGGCAACGTGGAACCCGAGATGAGTGGTCTGTACGCCGAATCACAAACAGAGCTTTGCGTTCCAGAGCCTTTGGTGAATGGGAGGTTGGTCAAGAACAAGTTTGGGAATATCGACTTGTTTGTGGAGTCGATGTTGCCGAAGGGGGCAGTGCATTTGCCTCGTATGTTGACTGTTCTCTTTGTATTTGTAGAGAAGATGGGATGCTAATGGATGGGCCTGGTTGGGTAGAGAAAAATGTTGACAAAGCCGCGAGACTTGTGGGCGTTGACTTCGCCCCGGCCATCGTAACTTCCTCATCTCCTCTAGACACTTTACCGCAGCTATTAACTCTTAGAAACAGACGGGCTTCGAATACCGTCACGGCCACGCGTACCCCGTTGCTACCGGCATCGTAGTCGCTAAGGAATACAGAGAGGCTATAGCAGCGGTGCATGAAGGACTGGTTGAAGCCCAGGACGAAAAGGCAGCTAGGAATCGTGATATGAAAGCGCTCTGTATGTGGCGACGCTTCCTTACGAAGCTGCGCATATTAGATCATGTCAGCCGGATACCGGAAGAGCAGGAGGTCACGCACCATCCAATGACTATGATGGCGAATAATTGGAGTAAAGCCGTTGAAAAGGGAGTCGTGGAGGTTGTCGAAGCGGACGAAGAGGAGTTTGGTGGTTTTCGTGGCGGTTTCTTCTCTGTGTCTGAGGAATCGGAGCCTCGTCTTACTAGGAAACTGACTAAAGAACCTCAGGCTCTTGAACAACGACGCGGAAGTCCCCGTGCTTCTCACTATTTGGCTTCTGCTACCAAGACTACCCCTAAGAAAACAGCAAGGTCCAAGTCTACCACCGCTACTAAAGCTAAACGCAACGCGAGAAAACCTCGTGGGCGAAAAGTCATTACCGAGTCAGAAGAGGAGGAAGCGGAAGAGAGCGAAGATTCTGACTCGAGCACCTTCTCCAGGGCCCAGCACGGCAGTCGTAGATCTTCCAAATTCAATTACAAATACAACTTTTACGCAGGCTCCGACTCTGATGCTAGTGGAAGTGGCGAATTCCTAAAGCAACAGGGAAGTGGGATACCGCCTCGAAGGAGTACTCGACTCGCCACCACTGCTAAGACAGCTGCACGCGTGAAGTATACTCTAGATGAGGATGACGATGAGGCTGATCTGGAGCTAGAGTTAGAGCTAGAGTTGGAGCTGCGGCAAGGAGAGGAGAAGGAGATGCAGAATCAAAAGGAGAGAGCAAGCGGCGGCTTTCTTATTAGATCTGACAACTCATCCAGTGAGCTTAGCGATGCACCCAGTGATCTAACTGACGCTGAATACGAAGCGCCGATTGGGAATAAGCCCATCGAGTCTGATTCTGCTCTTGAGAGGGGGAAGCAGGGCGATGAAGGCGGCGACGGTGACGATGAGGACGAAGGCGATGACAACTCTGAACCGAGAGGCGCAGCGGGCGCGTTCGAAATGCCCTATGAGAGCCGTAAGGGTGGAGACTTGGACAGAGCCGACTACGTTGCCCATGCCGCCGGGCCAATTACTGAGGATGGGACTGTGGATGTTGCCAAAACTGGTCAAAGAATGGCAGACGCCAGCAGCAACGACCATCACGATAATGATATCGCTGCTGGGAAGCTTCATCCGGTCGGGAATAGAGCGGAAGGATCGGAGGTTGTTGCGGGTACCGCTGCTTCGCTTGATACAATGGGAATGGCCGGACCCGGGGGAATGTATCGCAAGGAACAAACCCCAGACGACGATTCGAGTCCAATGCTATCCGAAGATCCGGAGGATAAGGAAAATTCAGATTTGGATTGGTGTAACTTCGAGTAATAATTAGATCTTTTCCTTTCCCCTTTTATTTTTTTTCTCTTAACTGTTTCGTGTCTTTCGGGTGTATAAACTCCCCCCCGATGCTTTCTCCCTCTCTGTCTAACTAGATCCTGTTAAATTATTATGATTGACTAAATTTCTGGCGTTTATACCCTTTCTTTGAACTTTTATTTTTCTTTCTTTCCTCCTCTCCTTCTTTCCTCGTTTCCTTCTTCCCTTCTTCCCCTTCTTCCATGTCTATACTTTATCCGCGGGAACAAATAACTTGCCGTATCATACCAGTTACTGTACTGTACATACCCGAGCTCAAATATTACCTACCCTATTCGCTGGGACTTGAAATAACCAAAAGCACACCCCCAATTAAACATTTCCACCCCACTAGGTAAAAAAAATCTCAAAACTGGTATGTCTGATATAATATGTATGATATGTTGGGATCCCCAGATATTTCCACTTTTTTTGCTCCAACCAAACACCACACAATAGTCCCGTCCATGCTTCCGTCCTCACCCCCTTAAAATAGGTGGGGAATACAGTAATATCTATTTATCTATTGTACACACATAATATAATACCTCAATACCAGTGAACACCCATCTCTGCTCGGATATGGTAGGCGGGTGGGTACTATAAGCCGTTATATACTTGGACTGCCTCGTCGTGCGTTTCAGTGCGAGTCTTCTTCTCAGAGGTGGGGCTCATGTCTTTTTTTGAGGAGGTTCTTGCGCTGGAGATGGGTTCGCGGGTTTATTTGGACTGTGGTTGGGTTAAATTATGTGGTTGCGGTTGTGGGGGGGAGGGTTCGAAGGGATTTGGGAGTTTTTCTTCTTTGCTTCGTTTTGTTTTGGTGGATGATGGGGGGTGGTGAACGTGGTTGGGGTTGGGCTGTGCGTTTTGGTGGTGGTGGGCATTTTCTCACTGCGATATCATTTCCCGGGGGGGGGCTCGATTGTTGCCGATCCTCCGAAATTTGGCCGAGACGCCGGTGTCTGGATTTACTTTCGGGTCGTGGGGAGAAAACTAATTTTCTACAGTAATGTGTAACTTGAGGTATTTTTTTTCTTATTATACTTTTTTAGTTTCTTTGGTTGTTTAAGGGTACAACCACTGGAGCCCAAGGTCTAAGGTGTGCTATGACATACTGTATGATATATCTTATACGGTATCATATTTGGCGCACCCTGATTTCTGATTCAGGATCAGTCTTGGAACTAGCGTTACCGCAGAACTTGAGTAGGGCAAATGCATTTTTTTCCTGAGGCGTGCGGGACAGCAACCAAGTACTTTTGGGTGATAATACATGATTTAGATTGCAAATGTAGGGAGGACCTTCAGGAACAACCGGGACTTCTCTTCCGAAAAAAAAAACAAGCCTCTAAAATATCGGCAAACCGAATAATTGGTATAAACTGAACCCGATCTGGTATTATGCACATTCGCGCATCAACTGCTGCCCATATCTTCTAGGTATCGACCTTATTCCTCTGTAAATAGTTTCGGCACGGCCTTCTCAAACCCCATCCTCTGCCAAATTCCACCTATTCGCTCAACTAATCTTACGAAGCTATCGTCATGGATGGCATTGATAATGAACTCCTCCATCTGTGCAAAGTCTTCTTCCTCGCGTACCCGTTCTTCATCAATGTTAATGAGATGCCTCTTCTTTTGCTTGTGCTCATTTATGTGCTCATTATCATCCACCCTCATTCCCCGTTTACTCCCCACCGGGGGATCGTCCCTTGTATAGGTGCCATTGGGTTTGCCACTAGGGTGCGGGAGATGGTTGGGGATGTCGCTTTCCTCGGGGATAGGGGACTGGAGGGGTAGCCTATCCTCCTGTTTATGCTTATTATCGGGGGGAAAACTCGGCATATTCCGGTGGACAGAGTCAGGATAGATGAGGGTTGTCTGTTTGCTGTTTAGGCCCTCGTGATTGATCTGATGAAATACCCCGTGGTTCGAATCAGGGGTTGGCAGATGCTGAGAAATGTAGCCGGCAGATGTCTGCGCCCGTGATGGTTCCCTTAAAGGCCTGACAGGAGTTGGTTGGGGTAGGGGCGGGAGAACACTCGCCAAGCTGCTTCTACCGATGCTTGAAACCCGTACTGTGGAAGTTTTGAGTTGTTCGCGATTGCTTAGATCTGGGGGAGGGCGTGGTGCTGGAAGGTCTTGGACTGGGTCGGAGGTATGATACGGCTCCGGTGGGCTTGAGGGATAAGTGCTAGAGGAGCCTGTACAAGTGCCTCCCGAGGGCAGTTTGAACCCTCCGCGCCTGATTGGTGTCTTCGGATAGGCCTTGCTTTGTTCAGTGCTAAAGAATGATTGTGATTGCTGCACATCTTTTGGTGGCGGCATCGAAGGGTATCCAAGAGGAGTGGCTGTAACAGTGCTATCGGATGAAGTGGAGCTAGGAAGGCTGTTGGATGGGGTCCTTGGAGGCGAACGTTGGCTGGGGTTGTGATCTGGTATTGGATGAGAAGCAGGAGCAACCACTTGAAGTACTATTGGAGCAGAAGGTCCTTTCGAAGTTTGTTCTGTGACATCTTGAGGGGCCGGTGGAGGCTTCACCAAGCAATTTATCTTCTCCAGGCCTGCTACCGCGGCCCGGTAGTCTTCTTCTAAAACAAACCGGATCTGAAAACGACGTATCTATTTTCTTTAGGAGGGACCGCGAATTGATAGATGGAAGGCTAGACTCACGTTTTCTTGGTGGAGATACTTAATAGCTAGAACGGGTGAACGCCCGATCGCCACTAATGCGGGTTGAGGATCTTGAAAGAAATTCCCACTAGGAATAGTCTTTTTCACCAGAGATGTCAATTCGATATCCTCCTATCCGTATGTTAGAGGTCTCCATGGCGGGTCGAGAAGGGCCAACTTGCCAAAGTCTGGGCTCCCCAAACTATTTTCATCCTGGTTTGTGAGCCTAAATAGTCAAACACATCCCCAGACTGGCCCGTCTGGAGTATGAGATAGATGTTATCCCTTTGAGCGAAATGTGACCAAGGAGACTGGATTCGACTCGAAATTGGGGTGACAGAGTAAGAATATTTCCATATTGGCCAACAGGGTCGGACTGAGGGAGGGACGGGAAACTGAGAATGTGTAGGCTGGGAGAGAGATAGCTTTCCCGGAGGCATTTGGGGATGATGCGGGGGAAGTAAAAACTTCCGGAGGAGATTCCTAGACTGTTTGATTTTGGGGGTCTGTTTCCATGTTCCTTTCTAGTTGAGGGGATGTTTCTGTGAGGTGGAGGAGTGCGTACTCACACAAATGGCCGCCACCGCAATTATTTATAGTATGATACAAATACTGCACCGGGAATTCAAAAACTTGATTGCACTCATAGTCCCCGAACAAATATCTTGCTAGATTCTCTACCACTATAGATAGGAGGTCAGATGCAACTTAGTTATTCGGGCGTACACAGTAGCTTGCGAGCTTCTGGAAATATAAATGTGGTAACCTATAGTATACCCCATCGTGCTGGACTCTTGCATTTTGCATTTTGGAGCCCCCCCAAAGATTTGCGTGGTCGTGTAAGCTGAGCCCTAAGTTACATTCACCAATATCCGAAGGTCTCCATTCCTATCTTGACAACCTTTACCCTTCCCCCCTCACCCCAACTACTTACAGCGACTAGGCCACCACCAAACACCTATCCTAAAGGGTCACGATAAATTCTTAAAAGGTCTAAGGTCTCGCTATGCACCTTCTCATTCTCCTCCTTTTCACATCTTTCTTCCCACCGCCTTACTCCTGTTGGGGCATTCTCCGCTCCCGAACCCCATCACCTTCCGTACCTGATGTTTGGGTTAAATCCCCGGGACATGATGCGGCTCCCAAAGATGACCCAAAGGATTCCGTCACCTACTTTGAAATCGATGAGGCTTATGAAACAGCATTGGCTGAACTGAACAGGCTTTCATCGAAGTCTACATGCCACAAAGTCGCCTCTCAGTCTCTGGTAGGAGACTGTAGATCAATAGGGATTGACAGTGAAGAGGATGAGAACTCTAGAATTCTGTTCGGCGTGCAATTGGCTGCCTGCGAGTTTGAGGTTGATGGTCTCGAGTTCCCTTACGAGTGTCGAAGGTTTGAGGGTGAGAGAGAAAAGAGGGTTCGCAGTGCTAAAAAATGCTTGCGAATGTTAGCTCAGAAGTCTCAATGGTGGACATCATATAGCAACAACCGTGCAAGCGGTTTTTCTATGTGCTCGGCTGCTAGGCGTGAGGTCGAAAAGGGTATTTATGAAATCAATAACAATTGCATATGTCACTGAAGGCTCACCGTCTTGGCAGAAGAAATGATCAATGTTCACAGAAACATTACCAAAACTCATAAGTCATTGTTTGCGATTATTGAGGTGTCTCTCAAAGATGCTTGGAGGTCGGCCAAGGCGCAAACTGAGGCAACTGCTAAACTTAAGACGTTTATAGAGGAGCTAGTGGAGGATTACAAAGGAGCAAGGACAGAGTTGACCAAAGATACAACAAAAATGGCGGATACCATGAGCGGCAACTTGGAAAGGCTATACGAGAGGGGGCAAGCTGCGGTCAATCAACTCGAATTGGTGGGGCCTAGTGTGCATGCCCGAGGCTGCCTATACTGACGTTGCGTATTAGTCAATCAATAAAGTTCAAACTTCCACAGACCGGCAGGTCAAATTGGTAGACGAGGTAAGGTTTGGAAATTATCGAGACTGTTCAAATATGGTTTTGATTTTGACGGATATAGACCTTTAGTTCGATTTCCAGTAGAATGGTCAGTCCCACTCGTCCCAATAGACCGGCAAATGAGGTCGTTTTCGCTATCGGGCTTCATCTGATGGTTGCATTCTATACAGGAAAAGTCTTTGGAGGGGTTCAGAGAACTCGATGTTCTTGCAGAGAATCATGTCATGGTATGTTTAGTCCTACAGGGGCCACTGCCATATTAAGATCTAATCCGTGGCATATATTAGAAATTTAACGCCATTTCGGGCATATACGAAGATCTCGCCGGTGCTCATCAAACTCTAACTGAGTCCTCTGAGAAGCTAGTCCAGATAATGGGGGATTTTACAGAGACCCTTGTAGATATGGACGAAAAGGTTCGATCGTGGGAAGAGAGAATCAGTAACTTAGGGAACTCGGCTTGGTTACCAGTGGCTTCTTTCCTTCTCGGGGGGATGATACTTGGAAGAGGCTGGCACAGACTAGATTCCTTACTAGTTATCATCGGTAAATTTAAGATTCGCAAATACCTGGAATTATTATTAACCGGTGCCTATTTTGTAGGCGGATGTTTCATACTTCTGAACACCTTCCAATGGAGCGACTTCATATACACCCAGCGATTTTTGGTGTTTTCGAGGCTCTGGCCCGGCTCAATCTCCACTTCAGAAAAGACCTTCTATATCCTAGCTTCTACTTCGGGACTCTTCGCTAGCATCTGCTGCGGTATAGCCTACACTCTGTATCGGCGTGCAGCGCCGTCCGAACGCTTACTTGGATGAGGGATATATAACTAAAGATACTAATCCCTTTAGTGTCCTCTTTTCCTTTCCGCTAGCCTCTCCTCTTTCATTGCCCTCCAACTGTTGCATCTCTAGGCTTCCTTTTTTCCTTTCTATTTTCTTTTCTTTTTTGCTGCATTGTTTAGGAGAAATTGGGGGCCGTGGTTGGGAATCGCATAGGCACTGTATATTTCTCGTGCTTGGAGTTGGGGAATAGTGGAGTACTTGCTTGTTGGAGGGAGTTTGTTTGGAATACCTAATACATTAGAGAGAACTCTTCTTTTTCTTTTGTTCGCCAAGCTCAATTGAAAAGATCTGCAATAAACTAATAGATGGCAGCATAGTGCGGTACGAGTGGGGAGGCTAAGGCTTTAGTACCGCTCAGACCCCGTCAGAACGATCATTGACACGAGTGATTTTTTGTGAGAATACTTGTTGTCATCACACCACTCTGTCCGTATGATACAACAAGAAACAAGCCCCTAGTCAGAAGGCATGCGATACAAAGCGGTTGATTGGTCCTTGACTTCCGAGTTACGGTATCGGACCATTAAGAAATATGGCGAACCGTGCGCAGAGCGCAACCAGAGCCCTTGACCACGCCAACATATTGTTGGATTTGCGCCTCGGGAGAGGGGAGAAGAAAGCAGTAGGGGGTACATCCCACGAGTGAGTATTCGTGACAACAGTTGCATCCGAACCCCCTGTCAAAAGGGTAAGTTAGTTAGACTCAGACTTTTTAACTCTACGACTACGAGAAGGTACCTGTGAGTTAAAACGCCGCCGGGAATAACTAGTAAACCATGGCTTGTAACATCCCCCCCCCTTGAAAAAACAAAGAATAAGTCCCAACGGTATAATAACGAGGTTTTGCAAGTTATTCTCCTAACTTTGCGAGCGAAAATTTCCCGCCTCATCGACGCGCGTGATACCGTTTCTTGGGGGTTGTTCGTCTCCCGAGCCCACCGTGCGCCGGGGGGGAGGGGAGGGGGGGGGGTATGATGTATAGTTTTTTGGGGGAATCGAGGGTTGCCCAGACACTGGCGGGTGGCTAGTCTACGGATTGTGTTGTTTTGATTGGGTGGGGTGGAGTAAGGCTATGAGCCCCCCTCGGGATGCTAGCATCATATTTCAACGAAAGGAGGGTAATAGTAAATACGAGAGCCTATCTAGCGTGCATTACAGCGATTTACTCGGGTATGACACTTTCTAGGGAGGATTGTAACGAACTGGCTTTCATAATATGGTATGCAACCTCTCGATGTGATAGTGTACAGATCTATGATACGTACGATACTAGTATGATAAACCCTCGCTCACCCTGCGGATGCTCCCCGGCTGGGCTCACCCAGCTTCAGCGTACCCTCCCTGTCGGTCTTTTCACCCTCGGCAGTGCCCTCCCTCTTGACAATGTGCCCCAAAAGCCCCCGCTTCCCAACAACCTTCGCTCTCTCAATCATCGCCTCTTCTTCCCTGAGGATTTCTTTGGCCCTCTGCTCCTCGCCCCGGAGTTTCCACTGTTCCTTCCTGACGGCTCGTTCTCGGCCTTGGAGGGCCTGCTCACGTCGTTCACGCTCCTTCCTCTCCTTCTCTTCCTCCGGGTCCTCGGGGAGAGTCGCTAGGTGATCTTGAGTAACCTTGTCGCGGACATTATCTGGCGCGGTGACGTATCGGACGTCTACTAGGATCGATTCTGGAAGTGTTTCGAGGGTAGTGTAGCGGGATAAGGTAGTGGTGGACTTTAGTAGCTTTTTGAGGTCGTTTTCGCGGAGGGGTTCGGAAATTTTCATATCTAATTATGATTAACTGGGGTTTTGCAAACGTGCTGTACAAGTGGGTTACTTACGAGAGATATACTCTCTATACATTTTCTCCTTGTCTTTGTCAGGTACTTTGCTGTCTTTCATCTCTGATGACTTCTTCCATTTTCTCTTGAATTCGGGCCAGTACAACTTAGCACTAGCATTTCCCTTTAGGAATTCCCAGAAGGGTATTCTGGGGTCTTGCTTCTTGGTCTTCTCCTTCTCGATCTTTAGTTCTGCGATACGCTCCCGGCACCAGCTTGTGAAGACCTCTTTTCGTGCTTTTGTTGTGTTTATCAGGACGTAGCGAGAGTCCTCCACGATCCGAGGCATCTCCTTCTCCCAAGTGCTGTATGGATTGACCTTGTATTCGACCAGCATTTCCTATAGAGTGTTAGATTTCTTTAAAAGTTATTGAGACAAACTTGTAGGGGAGGGTGTACCTTGAACAGATAAGTGTTGTCCTCATCGGTCATTTCTTCGCCCTCACCAAAGTCCTCCTCATCAAGGCCATATTCCTGAGCTATAGCTTCTAATTGCCAAGCCACATCATCCTCTGTAAATTCCACTGGCCCCTGTTCTGAAGTCTTCACCCTTTTTTGTGCATATTCTTCCTCTTCCTCTTCCTCTTCTTCCTCGTCCTCCTCTTCTCCCTCCTCTTTGTCCTCTTCCTGCTCCTGGAGTTCAGCGTTCGCCCTATCTGGTGCCTCGCCTTCCCCTCCCTCCATTTTAGCTTTAGTCGTCGTAGCCGAAATAAGCCGTCTCCTCTCCTGTTGCTCGGACATGACCTCAATTCCACTCCCGCGCTCTGTAGCCTCCCTGCTTCCGCCCTTCTTCCGTTCCTTCGGCTTGTCTTCCTCCAGGGGAATCGTATCAATTGCAGCCTGAACATCCTCTGGGGCCCTCCATAGCGAAACCTTAGTCTCAGTGTTATAAACAAACTTCCTCCCCTTCTTCGTAGTAACAAGGACCCATGACTTCATTCCTGGTATCTCCCGCCTAATCACTTTCGTTAAACTCGAACATTAAAAAAATAAAAACAAAAATTGCCACAGGAAATCCTACTTTGACCTTGGTCTGTCAGGCTTCTCCTGTCGCTTCTGCCAGCGATGACCCGGGTTTCGGTTCTGTTTGTCAACTCGCCCACCTCTGCCGATTCCACCCCCACCGCGTCCGTAGCCATATTGGTGTGGTGGGAATTGTTGCGGGGAAAATTGTTTGGGGAATGGTTGCTGAAGGGCTTGTTGAGGGGGGAAACCTCCAGCATAGGGGGTTGGCGCTGCATTGAACACCGGGAAAGGACCTGGGCCTGGAGCTAATGGGGGCATTGTCGATAGCGCGACGGGGCGAGTGTATGTAGAGGTTTTCGTGGCAGCATTATGGTAGTAGGTATGGCCTATATTTCGGTCAGACATGTTCGCTATGTATTGCGGTAGGAGGGGAGTCAACCTGTCGGAGCTTTGTGTTCTGTCCAGCCTGGGGTGAGTGGTGGAGGCCCTGCTATTGCCCCGAAAGACGCGGGCGCTGGAGGACGTTTCGGAAGATTAGGGGAAGCCATTTTGCAGACTGGTTGTCGCGAGACCAGGGCAGGCAAGGCCTAGGTGATGGGGGCAGAGGATGGGATTGCCACCGGCTACAGTGGCTGGTGAAGATTTGGGACACTTCAAGGATGCGCATGAGACATTCTCTGTGTCTTGGCGTAACTGGTTGTCGAATTGCAGGTCCAACCGTTGAAACATCAACCCGCCTGCCCAGTAACGCGAGTATTCATCCCCCACCCCGCCAAACAGCATCCCCATCAACCAACTTCATCCCCCATTTCCATCAGTCTCATAACGAAAATCATATTCTATCCTGAACCTCATCCGAGATGTCTAGACGCTACGATTCTAGGGTTGGATTATACTCCTCCACTGTTTCCTTTGCTATTGATCACTATCGAGGCTGACTAACCTACCTGGCTAGACAACTATCTTCTCCCCCGAGGGTCGCCTTTACCAGGTGGAATATGCTCTAGAAGCCATTTCTCATGCCGGAACCGCTCTAGGAGTCTTGGCGAAAGATGGAATTGTTCTTGCTGCAGAGAGGAAGGTTACAAGCAAGCTGTTGGAACAGGATACAAGTGCGGAGAAGCTGTATATCTTGAACGAGTCAGTAACTGAACTTCTCCTCCTTGTCTATCATCCACCGGATCTATTTTGGGACTATTGGGAAGGCTAGAAGCTAACAGCGAGATGGGTTCGCACGGATACAGCAACATGATCTGCGCAGTAGCTGGAATGACCGCAGATGCAAACATTTTGATTAACTACGCCCGACAAGCTGCACAGAACTACCTTCTCACCTATAACGAAGATATCCCGTGCGAGCAGCTTGTTAGGAGGTTATGTGATCTGAAGCAAGGCTACACCCAACATGGAGGTAAGCCAGCTCCAACAAACAAAAACAACACAACCGCGCAGGGGTGGATAAATAGATACGAGAAAAAACCCCGCCCCCACATTCGATACTGATGTTTTTCTTTTTATTTTCCAATGTAGGTCTCCGCCCGTTCGGCGTCTCTTTCATCTACGCGGGTTACGATTCACAACGTGAATTCCAGCTCTACCAATCCAATCCTTCCGGAAATTACGGTGGTTGGAAAGCCACCTCTGTCGGCGCCAATAATGCCTCTGCCCAGAGTCTATTGAAGCAAGATTACAAGGAGGATTGCGATCTGAAGGAAGCTTGTGCAATTGCTGTCAAAGTGCTGAGCAAGACAATGGACAGCACTACCTTGAGTAACGAGAAGAGTACGTTTCCAGCCTTTCTCCGTGCCTTCGTGGGAGTGGCACTTGCCTTCATAATTGCGTGTCGGAGCTCGGGTGCTAATGATACCCTCCTTGATAACAGTCGAGTTTGCAACGGTTGGCAAGACAGAGGGTGGGAAGGTGTATCATCACCTGTGGAGCGCGGAGGAGATACAGTCCCTGCTTCGGGAGCATGGCCTGGCGAAGGAGGAGACGGATGACTAGAAGGGTAGAAAGTTTATTTAGAAACAGAAGCCAAGGGAGTTCCCGAGTACCGAGCCACCAAAAGTTAATGCAAAAAAGCAAACAAGCTTTTTTTCTTGTCATTCTTAGCGATATATTAATCGGAGGTAATTGGTGCGCTGTACGTGAGTTCACTAATTCACGGCGCAGTTAATGTAGGGGGCCAAAGGCACGGGCTGTGCAAATTATCACTTTATCGGCTTCCTCTCCTTCCCACCACCCCACCCCTCCCCTCCTACCTTTTCCCGTTATGATACCCTCACTACCGTCCCCTCGCTGCCTTCCCATTGCCCCAGGCCGAACCTTCCTGGTGGGCTGTCGGCGATACGTGTTCATTGTGGCTTCGTAGATGGTAGCTTGATCGGGCTTTATTTATTACACGCGGGGGGGGGGGGGGGCAACGAAGTAGTACGGTAGCCTTTTCCCACCACCGCCACCCAACCAAACCAACCGGTCGCCCTTACGCAGCCGGGTATCATAAGACAATGGAAGGGGGTCCATATGCTCGAGCGTGGTGCAGCATCATAGTACCGTTATTACGGTGGGCCGGGGTATTGCTAAGCAATGACCCTTCATATTCTATGATAATATTATATCCTTATTCCAGAGTATTACCCCAAGACACATGAGCCCGCACTTGGCTAGGCTGCAGCAGCATGGGAATTGCCGTATGGTACTGTACATACAGTACCGGTTAATGCAGAGTATTCAATATAACCATGGTTTGAATTTTGTCACGTCACTCTACCTGTATGATACGTTGGTCCGGGGTATGGGGAGAGGGTACCAGGTTCAATGAGAATGACTGCGCGACAGGTATTACGAATGGGGAGATAGTTAGGTACACTGCAGGTCAACGACAGGTAAACTTTCTTCTGGTCACATCTCCAAATCCCTTGATGGTTCAGCCTTGTGCTCCCAACGGGTTGGATAGATTGAATATTACCAATACGATGCTCGACAAAGTGACTTGCGCGCCGCTTGACATCAATCCCTACGTCTAGGTAGGTGGGACGGCATGGCGCGGGGATCGGTTTCCTCCCTCAGCAGCCAACCCTTCAAAGTATCTCCTAAGCCCCAAAACCATTGCTCTGGGCGGATCATACCTGACCACCCTACCTCTTCCCCAGCACACCACCCCACTACCACCGGTCTTCCCTTTCCCCTTCCCTTGCCCGTCATTCTCCCACCTTGCCATTAGTCTCCTAGCAATGCTCCTGACCCCTTCCCTCCTCCCTTCCTCCCACTCGGCCCCGTTCGAGACCAACCCACACCCAACCGCTTCCTCGAGGCTCAACCGCTCAACGACCCACCCCCTCAACCTATCCTTAACCCTCTCCCTCTCAAGATCCCTCGCCTTGCCCGCCAGCGCCGGTGCGATCCCGCCGCACCGGTACACCACGCCGCGTTCCTGGAGCGCAGGAAGGCTCGGGCGGGTGAGGAAGTGGTGCTTCAGCCTGATCCCAAGCAGCGCACGGGAGAGGACGCGCTGCGTGTGCTGGCGGCGGGTCAAGTAGATTTGCGCGTCGCGGAGGAGCGGGAGGGAGGGGCGGTGTTGGAGGGATGCTGCGAGGGTCACTTTAGCGCGGTGGAGCCGGACTTTGTGCAGGAGGGGGTCTGTGGATAGGGCGCGGAGACGGTGGGTCGTCTAGGGTTAGTAATTGTTAGCGTCTTTTTTGTATCACAAGTGTAGAGTAGGGTAGAGTAGAGTAGAGAGGTTAGTGATAGTAGTAGTAGGGGCAAGGGAGATAGATAGGTAAGTAGACGTGAGAGGAGATTAGTTTGTTAGACGGATGAAGTGATCACTCGCTCCCTTTTTTTTTTCCCCCACTACCTCGCCCGGAGCCAGTCCAATTGCCGCACGATAGTACAGCACGGAGCTTTGCCGAGCCTCCGATACTAATAAAGTCTAACTAGCCAGCGAACTGCCTATCAGCTCCCCGCCTATCCACCTACCTACCCGCCTACAAACATAGCTACCATAGCTACGTATCACAACTACTTCATCGCACCCCATCCCGCATCCATCCACCCACCCACCCACCACAACGAAAAGATACACTCGTAGTACTCGTAGAATAAATTTGGGAAGAGGGGAGAGAGGACAAAAAAAAAAAAAAAAAAAGGAATAGCGATCACCTTCCCCAAAGCACCCAATTCCGGCACATCCAAGAATTCGCAAACCGCGAGAATAATCTCGTCCGGAAGCGTGTCCAACGAAACCCTCTCCTCCCCCTTGTCCTGCAGCAGCATCCCCCGTGGCTGCTGCTGCTGTTCGGTATCACCGTTGTTGTCGGTGTCGGAGTCGAAAGCCGCAACTGAAGCCGACATCACTCCAAACGGCATTAAGTACGCTACAGGTACACACGTTTTCGATGGAGCTGGTGGTGGTGGTGGTGGTGGTGGTGGTGGTGGCGTTCGTACAGTTGGGACAGCGAAGCAGCGGGATAGGAGGGAAGAGAAAAAGAAAGAAAAAGAGAGAACCCTGCCTGGCGGTGAGTGAGCGAGGCTGTTAAGGTGGATTGATTGTTATGGAGGTGATGTATGATACTGTACAGGTAGGAGGTGCGAGCACCGTACCTCAGGTGGGTTGTCACAGGTTAAGTTAGGTTATGGTTGATGGCGACGAGGGGTTATGTCAAGTTTGGCATCTGGTCAGTTGGGGCTTGGATTAGTTAATGGTGGCTAGGCCACGATCGGGTGGTAGCTGGTCGGGTGTTGATAGCACATGTTAATCTGATCATGTCAGGTTACCTGAACCGGTATGTGATCAAGCAGTTTCCGTACAAGTACTGTACTCGAGTACGAGTGACTATTATAATTATACCATGCGATCCAGGCTGCGGTGCAATGCCGCAGTTAACTCGGTAAAGGCAACCACCAGGCCCAGAACTGTTGGGGTGATGGTTTATACAGGATGTTATCCGATGATTTGTATAACTTACGTGACAATTGGATAACCGGAGACAGGAGTTCACACGATAACGCTTCCCAGAGCTCCTTCAGCCAGGCCTCCCCCCCTCCTCTCCTTCCAATTCCATGGGTTACATTACGTTACTCGCTCCTCGATCGGTGAAACACTACGAGTCCCGTACCATTCATCACCTTGCGAATCCAGCGCCAGCCAGCCAGCCAGCCAGTCAGCCAGCATTTAGCACAAGCAGTGCTCAGTAATACCCTGCCCACACGTAATATCCTTAACTCTCTTGCGTAGCAGATGACGACACTAACAACCCGAAACACGAACCAACCGCCAGCCGCATCTAGTTGCGGCTACCGTTCATTACCGGAGCATTCCTTACTCACATAATTACAAGTACCGTAATAGCGAAAGAGTACACTACCGTACCGTACCGGTCTATAAAAAAAAAAAAACACAAAAAACAAAGTTAGCAAACAGGATAATACCGGTATTGTTTAGAGATAAAAATACGAATGAAACCAATGAACACGAATGTTCATGGATCGATCACTCGATTTATCTACCACTTCCCAACCACAATGTACGAGCACAATACGTACCGTGAAACAAAGCTCCGGATTCCCCCTCCCCCCTTCCCTAACAGCCGCCAACTCCACTCGATATGAGAAATAAATTCAATCCACCCAACCACGAACACACTCGATGAACCAATAACTACATCTCTTACTGCATTCCTGCATCTCCCAATCGCCCACAATCCCCAAATCATCTCCCCCTCCCCCCCCCTCTCTCTCCTCCACCTCCTCGGTTCTTGGACCAACCAGTCATCTAGTAATATAAAGTAGGTACAGCGATACAATACAGTGGGGCGGGAATACCGTAAGGGAAAGAAAGGAAAAAAAAAAAAAAAGGGAACCAACTATCAGTCACTCAATATCTGACCTTTACCCCCATTTCTCTACCGCGACTGGCTCACCCGCACACAAGTCCACTCGTGCTCTACATACTGCGCACAAGAAAAAAAAAAAAAAAAAAAAAAAAAAAGTGCAAGCAGGCAGGTGATGTGGTGTGTCTGCGGAGTTTTTTTATTTCTTGGTTTATATATATATATATATTATTTTTTCTTCTTTTCCTTTAATGTATCAAACCGTATTACCCTTTCCACCCTAGGCGAGGGGCGAGCAGGAGGCGAAGGGAAGAAAAAAAAGTGGGTTATCCAATCCCGTTTCAATGGTTCATCGAGCGAATCGGATGAACCTTCTGCGGTCGTGATGGCGGTGATGAGCAAGAAGCCATAAGTGGTGGTCTGTGTGATGGATGAGCAAACGTGGAGGGGGGAGGAGGGAGGGGAGTCTTGGGCGAATGGTGGTTGGTGAGTAGGTAGAGTTGAGTGATTGGTGTTGCATGACTGGATAGCTGTTACCAAGTGCCAGTCGAGTGGAGTTGAGCACAGTACTGTACATGGGAAAACCGAGGATTGATTGATGAGCGAGAGGAGAGACGGTACAGTGAATGAATGAGTGAGTGAGTGAGTGAGTGAGTGGTGGACTGGTCGAATTGGAGCTCCTATATCCGCAGCACGTTTCATTTATTTACTTTGTCGGCAGAGGTACTGGTTGAGGTGGGCTTAGGATTAAGCTTAAGTTTGGGAAATACGATGGACCGTGCCGTTTTATGGATTAGACAGCACAAATAACCTGCCTTGCAGAGGAGGGGCAAGAGAGGGCACCCGCTAGTGAATGGGATTGGAGCAATTGGGAAAAGAGGGGTAGAGATGGTGAACATATGGATGGATGAATGGGAGACGGAGAGGGAGGAAGGCTACGAGCATTGCCAGAGGGTTTGTTTTCTAGCACGATACCTTCTACCGCAATGGCATTGCACAGTGTGCACCAGCTCCCTCACCCGTCTGCCTTACATATCACACCTTCAGTAGTTACTCCACCTGCTCAACTACCTACTATGCCTAGCCTGTGATGCCTGCCTCAGCTGTTTTGCCCCCCTCAATCACCCAATTTCCCGCTTGTCTACCTCCCTATCTCTCTACCCGTCCACCTGCTCGAGGATACCTGTCCGCCTGCTTGCTCGCCTGTCTACCTACTCACACCCAATGCACCCACCCACCCCATCCCTCCAACCAAACCCACCAATCTATTCCCCTCCCCTCCATCTGTTCCCATCCCTCCCTCCATCCCTCTGCCCATCCCTCCAATCCATCGATCCATCAACACCATCCACCCACCCACCCACCCACCCATCCACCCACCCCTCACTCCACTCCCGTTACCACCCCTTCACCCCTCTCCTCTCTCACTGCTTCCCCCCCTTCCTTGTCCTTCTTGCTCCCCCCTTCCTCCTTTCTTTCCTTTTCCTTTCAGACCCACCCGCTTTCACTTTCACTCTCACCTTCATCATCTTACCTCACATTACTTATCATACATAATCCACGTAGTTATTTTTCTCAATCCACCCCCCTCTTTTTTTATATCCATCATCATCACTGCCATCACGATCGATAGGGGATAAGGGGAGGTCTTAATTCTTTTTTTGAAATTTCAATTAGGACATATCATTTCCAACCGTCCGTCTATCCATCCATCCATCCATCAATCAATCCATTTCTATCTTTCTACCCATCTACGGGGTGCTAATTGCTATGATACTTGCATGTACGGCATGGTATGTTGTACCTACGTACCTACTTACCTGGTGAGTACCGGTAAGTGAACCCTCCCTTTTCCATGATAGGGGTGGTGATATGTGCGGCGTGTGGTGCGATGTGTCAGTCAACATGTATGATACTCGGGGGAGTGCAGTGAAAATCGGAAAACTATTTCTGCTAATCCCATACGAATCCCTATGGAGGCATGGGTTTTGATTTCCGCTTTTTACTGACACTGCCGAGTACTGTACATTGAGCTATGGGAAGAGGGTGGATCCATGGATGGACATTGGTTGGGGGGGGGGGGGGGTTGGAAAAAGAAATTGAAAAAGGTAAACCCGCAATATCCTTTTTGGTCAATTATGAATACGGTTTTTTTTCTACATATATTTCTTATTCTATGGCATTTTATAACAATATTATTTTCCCCTGGTTCCCTTTCCCCCCCCTCCCCTTTAGTTTTATTTTTATATTTATATTTCTTCTCTTCCCCCCAAATATTTGCCTATTCCGTCCTCCCCTTCACCCCATCCCTTACCCAATCCCCAATGGCGCAAGG